GGCTAGGTACAACGTTAGAGGCGTAAGGCAAAGCCAAGAGCTCTGGAGGGAGAGCGAGGCTCGGGCAGCCTGGCTGCCCGTAGGTCTGGTGGGCAAGAGACTGAAACCGGTGGGCAGTAACGCAGGCCCGCGGGTTGTGTCTGATGATCTGCCTCTTCAGCAGGCACCGAGCCCTCGTCACCCTGAATAACCCCAGCTTCTCCCGACTTGCCACAGGAAGATGAATGGCTTGTCAGGCCTTCACCCTCCAGCAGGTTCAGAGCAGTTAGGTCAGATCTGAGTCTTGTGGGACCTGTGTTATATCCTTGCTGCTGATGGGTATTTTAGCAGTGTAGCAATAATGAAATACTGTATTTTCAGCAGGCACCGAGCCCTCGTCACCCTGAATAACCCCAGCTTCTCCCGACTTGCCACAGGAAGATGAATGGCTTGTCAGGCCTTCACCCTCCAGCAGGTTCAGAGCAGTTAGGTCAGATCTGAGTCTTGTGGGACCTGTGTTATATCCTTGCTGCTGATGGGTATTTTAGCAGTGTAGCAATAATGAAATACTGTATTTTGCTGTTGCCACAGACTATAGAGAGCAGACAGTAACTTTGTAACAGATCATTTGCTTTGTAAGCCTTGAAGGTCTGTAATAAGAATCCACAGGTATGGGAAAATCTGTGTACAGCCCTGCCATGAAGATTACTGCTGCCTTATCTGCAAGGTATCGTGGTGCAGCCAGGGTTCAAAATCTGTTTCTGAGAATCATTTGAAATTGTGATTAGTAGTCTGAAATGTAGTGTATTTGTGATGATGAGATGTTGCTGCTCTGATGGCTTCTTACCCTTGGGCAAGGCAGGGCCCTTCATTCTGATAAATTCTGAAGCTGCACAACAGAGATCCTTACTTGGCAGATATTGCTAGAGTAACCTCTACTGCATACCTGGCACTTGCCTTTCTGGTGCATTTCTCAGGAGGACACGTGGCCTTCAGATCAATTAATTTTGCTTGCAGTTCACTCGGGTGCTTTTCTGAGGAGTTCCTGGGAAAAAGCCAGGGCAGGAGCAGGATGTATGAAATGTTCTAAGGCAGCCCAGCTGCTTATTGCTATCTGATATGGGGATTCCTCAGACAGGAACAGGAATTTGCCCACATACATCTACTTTAGCACAAGCATGGTAAGCGGTGCTTCTGGGAAGTTTTGTGTCTACTGTGTATGGTGGATCAACTGCACTGCACATGAATGGCAAACCTGACTCTTAAAGGAAACGTTGCCCCTGTGTTCCATAAAAAAAGGGATGGTCACTTTTTCTTGTGCAAGCAAAGACTTTATGTTCCAATGGCCTGCTCAGTTTCTGGCTTATAATTGTTAATCAATAAATTATCTAAACTGTAAGCATTTGCCACAAAAATGATCCGGGGGCTGGAGCAGCTCTCCTATGAGGACAGGCTGAGGGAGTTGGGCTTGTTCAGCCTGGAGAAGAGAAGGCTGCAGGGAGACCTGATTGCGGCCTTTCAGTACCTAAAGGGGGCCTATAGGAAAGAGGGGGAAAATCTTTTTAGTAGGGCCAGCTGTGACAAGACAAGGGGTAATGGTTTTAAACTGAAGCAGGGTAGGTTTAGACTAGATATAAGGAAGAAGTTCTTTACAATGAGGGTGGTGAAACACTGGAACAGGTTGCCCAGAGAGGTGGTGGAGGCCCCATCCCTGGAAACATTCAAGACCAGGTTGGACGGGGCTCTGAGCAGCCTGATCTAGTTAGCGGTGTCCCTGCTCCTGCAGGGGGGTTGGACTAGATGACCTCTAGGGGTCCCTTCCAACCCAAAACATTCTATGATTCTATGAAAAGAGAGTAACATAACTTAAGGACTCGGGAGTTATTGGACCAGAAGGAGAGAGCAGGATTCTTTCGTGCATTTTTATGCTGAAACATTCCCAATCCCAAGATCGAGACATTATTACTATGGTTTTAATGGTAAAATCAATTATATGCTTTCAGTTGATCTACGAATGCTTCTTACAATAACTTGGGTAAAACCTACTTTGTTCTGCAGATCAAGCTTACTGAAAAGAATGTTAATAGTTTATGACTTTTTTTACCACAATACGAACTAATTATAGCTGTGCCTATATTAAATCTATAAAGCTGTCACTTCGGTTGTGTATGTGGTTGGTTTTGGTTTTTTTTTTTTTTTTAAGGCAGCCAGAAATGGAGCAACTGGTGTTGAGCTGGATCTTGAATTTACTGCAGATGGTGTTCCCATTCTAATGCATGATGAAACAGTAGAAAGGACGACTGATGGGTCTGGAAGATTGTGTGATTTGACTTTTGATGAAATTAGGAGGCTTAATCCATCTGCAAAACATAGGCTATGGTAAATGAACTATTGCTATTCTGAAACCACTGACTGAACAGTGAAGAAAAAGTTCTCGATAAACAAAATTAGTGATTTGATCTATCACTGATGAAAATTTTTGTAAATTTAAAACTTAGTTCCATATGTTACTTCTCATTTGATTTTAGAAGTGTATGAGACTATCATCTCCTTACTCATCCTTGCAACAGGAACAGTGAAGGAGAGTCAAGATAATTGGCTTTCAAAAACAAAATCCACAGGCATTTGATGTGAAACAGGTTAATCACTACATAAGCTGCCCCTAAATTAACTGCAGGACACTACAGATACTGGGAGTTTCACTACATGTCAAAATTGGCTTGAATAATTACTTCTAAAACTAATTTTATTCACATGTATTTTATGACTGATTGTGTCTTGGGGATTCTAAACATCAGGATTATACTGTTGAAAAGGAGCTAGACAGATTCCTGGGTAGCCTCAGGTAGGAGCTGTGACCCCAGTGGCTGATTAGGTCCTTTCCAGTGGTATGCAGGGGAAAATATTTTTATGCATTGTTAAAAATTTTGATAACAATGTAACTTCTACAATATTGTAAGTGAATCCATTTTGGAGGAAGAACTTTTAGCATGTGCTCCTGAGACACTGCGTTAGGGATTTCCAGACTCTTGTAAAGTACCACCTGTGAGTGTGGTACAAGTAGCATCTTCCCTGTCTGTTACTGGAGAGGTGACCACCTGAACCACACAGCGAGATCTTTCTTCCACGTAGGCAGTTACCGCTGATCAGCTGTTGTTCACTGTCACCTTATCAGGAATAATTTATTGATGGGTGATGCTGCTTCTCTTGCATCCTCAGCTTGTTTTGCTAATTCTGCCAGGCTCTGCGTTTCTGGCTCAGGGTTAGGGAGCGCAGTTGGAGCAGGCTGAAGTGGGTGGTCAGCAGTTGGGACTGAACGCTTATTTGTGGTAGCTGAGGAAGGAGGTGAAGAAGTGAGGTTAGTGTTTCACTGTGGGACACGGGGTCAGTTAGCATCAGATTAGACCTTGAATTAGGAAGGATATCATTGTCTAGTGGGATTCTGGGGGAGAAGAAGATGAGCATGTATGCCTCTACGTGTGCAGCTTTTTACTGGGTGAGAGAGCCACCCCTGCCATTGCTAGTGGTGCTTGATCCCACTTCTAATACTGGTGCATCAGCAAACTACATTTAGGAATCCCTAGGAAACAGCTCTGCGTAGTTGGGGAGGTGCGTGCTACGTGTGTGCACATGTGTATTTTGACTGCATTCCAGTGAGGCGTTCTCTGTTTCTACAGGAGCAAATTCCAAGGTGAAAAGGTACCAACTCTGAGAGAAGCTGTTGTGGAGTCTATGCATCACAATCTTATAATCTACTTTGATGTCAAAGGCCATGCAAATCAGGTACCACTTACTGTACTAAGACACCTTCCTTCGCCCTTTCTTTGGGTTTCTAACCTGCTTTTTTGTTGGTCTCAAACTGCTATGTGTGGTGCAGTCCCTTCTCTAATACGGGTAAGACTGGGTATGCTATTTGTGTCATCCAAAGTTGGGCTGTCAAAGCAAAGACAATATGTTCCCTCATCCCATTCCATTGTCCTGGAAAGCTGCAACTTAAAATCAGCATGAGACCTGTGTGAGTGTTGAGTTCAGCTGACAGCATGATCAGGAAACAAAGCAAAGTGAATTCCCTGCCTGTGCTGAGGGGAGCCAGTATCTCCTCTTCAGCCTTGAACTAAGGATCCTGCTTATCTATAATTTGCATTACTGATGGGAGATACAGGTGATCAATCATTAACATTTTATGCAAATTAGAATATTTTTTTCTTTAGCATAGCAAAATATAGAAATAAATTCATTATCCCCTTGAACTGAACCCTAGGTAGTACTTCAGAATTTTATCCACGATATATTCAAGAGTATTTCAAACACAGAGAATGCTACTCATTGATGTAAACTGAATCATGAAAAGGACTTCCGCATGAAACAAAATGTAATTTCTGTGCTAATGGTATAAACAAGATGCTGTTTTTCTTCTTCCCCCTTTCCATTTCAATCTTGTTACACACAACAGGAAAGTATTTTTAAAGGGGATTATTCTAAAATCACTTTGCAGTATAAAGTAAATATAAGCTTATGTATAAAGATAACATCTATGTGTATTTCTAATTGGCAGGCAGTTGATGCCCTAAAACAACTCTACCTGGAATTTCCGCGTTTGTATAACAACAGCGTAGTCTGCTCCTTCATGCCAGATGTTGTTTATAAGGTGATGTTTCCTAAAAGTTTATTTTGGATTTTTTTAGTTCTGTTTGGGAATTTGAGTAAGATATACAACTCCCAGTTCCAGATTACTTTTGGGTTGTTAAAATTGCCAAGACTTTTTAATGAAAATTAAGCATAACTTGTAAGTCTCCTGCATAATCTTACTAGATCACTTGGTGCTCATTAGATGCACGTATGAATCTATAGCAATACCCTCCATTCTGAAAGCTATGTAGAAAAAAGTTCATCACTCTTAATGTTGGCACATGGCCAAGCATCTGTGTGCAAGTTCTCTGTTAAATAAACTTCATATCTTGTTGTAAATTTAGACTATTCTTAAAAATGTTTCCTAATTCGCACTGCCAGGTCCATTTACTATGTATTATATTCCATTGCCTGACTGTTATGCAATTTTTTTAACAAGTATGTTTTAAAGAAAAAACAGTAAAGTATCATAAACAGCTTTCTAAAAGAGTTACAAAAGGATCTGGGAGGAAGGAGGAGGAGGATTCTGGTAGAGCTGCGAATGCAAGCTAGCACTTTGTGTCTTAACCTCTCTCGTTTTATGCTGCTTTTGTTTGAATTAGTCTTTTCTCCTTGATCTTTCAGATGAGACGAGCTGACACAAATGTTGTAACAGCACTAACACACAGGCCTTGGCAGCTGAGTCATTTTGGGGATGGGACACCCCGTTTCAATTCCTCCTGGAAACATTATTCGTATATGATGATGGATGTCATTCTAGATTGGAGCCTGCACAGTTTCTTGTGGCGATTGTGTGGCGTCTCAGCTTTCCTCATACAGAAAAATTTTGTTTCTCAGTAAGTGTTAAAGCTTGCTAACATACCAGGAGGCAATACCATTCTCTTAGTATATAAGGGTAGAGCTAACATGGTATATGTTTATCAATATGTTCCATTTAGTGTTCTGTAAGGTTGTTTAGATAGCATGCAGTGGAGAAACTATTTAATTAATTTAAGCCTCTGTCTTTTCAATCTGTATTTTTATCTTACGGTAGATCCTAAGTTTAATCTCAAAGGGGAAGAAAACTGTTGCTTTTGCCTGTGTGCAGTAATAAAACACAAAAAGATGACATTGCAAAAGATGACACACTATCATTCTTGATGTGATACTGATGTAAGACTAAAACTCAGTTGTAGCCTCAGCGCCGTCTGCCTTAAATGTGGTAGTGTCAGCCTTCCTTACGGTGCCTTTGTTCCTTGCAGGGAGTATGTGAGGCACTGGTCTTCAAAAGGAATTCAAGTGGTTGCCTGGACAGTGAACACCTTTGCAGAAAAAAGCTACTATGAAAGTGTCCTTGAATCCAGCTACATCACTGACAGCCTGGTGGAGGACTGTGATCCTCATTACTAGGCCTGTGCTTTTTAGACACTCGCCAGCCTAAGTACACGGTCTTACTCGGGCAGGTCTGAATTCACCGTTGAGAGGATATCCACCGGTGCAGATGGGACAGCTAACAACAGTTCTGGGAAGAGGAAGAGCAGTGCTTTAATTCCACTGTACGGCCAGATCTTGAATGCAGAAACTCCTCTGTTGCAACACTGGACAAAGCCGAGGTACGGCCACTCGTAGTCTGAGGAGACTGCACCGTAACATGAAAGGATTGGTTTGACAAGCTAAGTGGGTAATACGCTGTATGTGCAGGTTGCTTTATAATTCTTAGACTGCTCCTTTGCTTTGTTTAAATCTTGGTTATAAAGTCATATTGGCAACTTTTGGTGGCAAAATTTAAAAACATACTTTGATTTTGGTAATTTTAAACAGTCTGTTCTGTGACTGTATAACAACTTGAGGTTGATTTATGGCATCTTAAACATCTACATTACTGTTCTCAGAACCTGAAAATAATGGTGCCAAATAGAGAGTGAGTAGATTTCCTTCCTACTGCATGGCAAGATAGCTGCACTGCATCTTGACAAGGAAAAGAAAGCCAACTTTCCACGTTCAATGTGAAGACTGAGAATTAATGAATAAAACTTGAATATCTTTTTACCTCCCAGCCTTTTTAAAGGAACCAAGTGGGGATAGAAGATTGTCCTCTTATGCTACAGCACATGAATGTATTTATTTTCAAAAGAAAGCTATATATTGAGTGTTGGTAGTGGTAGAACAAATAGAGTTTAAATGTCTTTTTACTTTGCTTATTGTTTGCATGATTGAAGGGCACTGGCAAGGGTATGTGGGAAACTGTAATCCAGATTTAACTTGAAATCAAAAGAGTCTGCGGTTATAATAAACAAGCATCTGATAGCTCCTGAGTAGGGTATTCTTTATCAGCTGTGCAGCAGTAGCTTGATGTAAAATGTCCAAATTAACGCAGGTTGCTTGCATTTCTTTTCTGACAAGTAAAACAAGGTGTTGTCATCACAGCTACCATCAGTGTGCTGTGAACAATTTTGGCTCTGCTCTGGAAGGAGCTGGCAGTTAGAGAAGACCATCAATGATTAGCAAGAGCAGGAAACTTCTCTGGACCCAGCCCTAACGTAAACTAGACCCCCTCTTCTTAATGGCCAATACATGGAATTACTAAGTTTAATAATTTAATTTCAGAAGAATGTGATACTAATTTCAACAGGAACAAGGAACTCAAACATTTAACTGATTGGTTACCTGCTGCGGGTAATTCAGATGTAATCTCTCAAGATACCATAGGCTGCACATGTAGCAAAGTCTATGTTTAACTAGAAAGCATAACTGTGTTTTAGTAAGGTGGCTCCTTGTGCTACTTCAGTGTTATTGAATTCATTGTCCCCTTGCTGGTCCTTGCTGTGTTTCAGCTGAGGTGCTGCACTGTACACTGGTGACTGTGCTATGATGCTCTAGAGGATGCAGCAATGGAACAGCAGATTGCAGGGCGTGGTGGTGCAGTGGGGTACACTGCTTTGGACAGAAACCTTTGTAATACGCCTCATGGCTAGAATTAGTTCTCATACACAGAGCCAAGTGAGATTTAAAAAAAAAAATTATATAAAAAGAGGCAAAAGGTAATAAAAAAAAGAATTGGGGATCAGTAGAAATTGTCCCAATTAAAGTTAAGTCCAAATGTCTGAATTAGCGGTAGATTAATGCTACCTTCTGCAAGGGGTGATAGATTTTTTGCTTGTAAACTGCACAAAGAAACACAGGAATAAGGGGTGGTTTTTCCTGTCAGGATTGAGAGAGCCTCTTTAGTTCATGTCACTCATCCACCCTGCACTGCAGAACCAACAATCCCCATCTTCTGGTGCCCACCCTTATAGCATGTGCACGTTAGCCCTCGGACAGTTTCTGTCCAGCCCTTTCATGAGTGCTGTAGCCTCTTCCTTCACTGCTGTCTTCTACAGGCACACCCCAAGTGGCTATTGAAGAGCAAACGACCCTTCATGGCAACTAGCCCTTGCTCCAAAGGCCCATTCTTTTTGTCGCTGCTTGAGTTGCTGGCACTATTAAGTCACCATCCTCTTTTTCTGGGTTGTCTTTAACCTAAATTATGAGCACGAGGAAAAGTTGTGCCTCCTTCCTAAGGCATTTTTATGTCCAAAGCAACAACAGAGGCATAAACCAGGTTGTAGTATAAAATGGGCTAAAAAAAAAAAAAGTTATCATAGCAAAGTTGTGGCTCTGAATAAAAAGAAGCTGCATTGAGTGTTGCAAAGTCACATCTGATAAAAGCCCCCTCAACTGCATTACTTCCACTCTATCCTTTACCGGGAAAAGACGTGTCGTAAACTTTCTGTTAACAAGTAGTGGATTTACACAGATGAGAATTTTGATAACTAGTCACTCCTAAAGAGTTCTGATAACTTTTGACATCAAAGCTGGTTTTGAGTGACTCTAATAAGCCATAAAAACGGCTCGGAAAAGTGAAAATGGAATAGAAGCTTAACCTGGTTCACACAAGTTACTTTGTAGCCATGACAATGTCTCGGTTGTTAAAAACAGCTGCACTTTAAGTTCCTTCTGTTTTTATTTGACTAATACTTGACTTTTGGTTTAGATCAGATAAAAATATTTTTAGACCAAAGCTTTTATTAACAATTAAGCAGAAGTTTCCTTATATTTAGTTAACAAGTGACCAGCTGTATCGAGGTAAAGGGCCAGTCCTGGGGCAAGGCTGAGGATCACCAGAATACCACTGCTACAGAACCAACATGCAGGGTATTCCCTACCACAGTAATAAACTGCAGTTGGGATGCATTTTGCAATCTCTTCTATTTTTTTTTCCTTAATTTAGGGCTTAAAAAAAAAAAAAGAAGATTGAATGGTTCTTTTAGTCATTAGTGCAAATGAGCATCACTTTCTGCAGAACATCAGTCAGTGACTTCACGTTCGTTATCGATTCTGCCTGCTTACGGTCAAAAGTCATTGTAGTCATCTTCGTCTTCCCACTGAGCTGCTTCTCTAGCACGCAGGGCGAGCAACACCGCCTCAGAGAGGCCGGGCCTGCTGCTGGGCTCAGGTGTCTCCGAACCTGTTTTTCACAAAGGAAGTAAGGTAACTGCGGTGTCGGTATAACCACCCCACTCAAAAGCCCTCTGCTATTTAAGTGTCTCCTCTGCCAAGTACTTGGGATGAAGTTACATGTTTGTGTAAATCAGGAATGGCTCAAGCTACCATGCAAGTTTCCATAGCTTTTTTACTCCCGACATGCCATGTCCCACATCATTAATAACCTCTTCCGAGATTCACACCAAGGTGTGAAGTATATCTCCACCGTGATGTAATAGTCTTGCTGGCGGCTGCTCCCTTAAGACAAAATAGCTCATTTACCCACAGAAACGAAACTCTCTGGTGTACAGAAGCTTGTGATCAGCCTTCAGAAGTCACCACCACCACCGCAACAAGCTACCAATAAGCACGTCCTATAGAAAACGCTTCCCCCCAAACCCGGACTTTTTGTTTTCTCTTTATACAAGGTGCTAAAATTCTGTTTCTCTTACATCAAGCTGTTACATGCTGCATCTGTACCATACCCAACGCTTTTACTGAGCTGAGCTGCTAAGAGTTGCTTTCTGTGTTTAGTGTTTGTCACTTACCTAGGGGGAAGCCAGTCTCCCTCACGATCCCAGCAGAATAGGGATGCTGAAAACAAAATTCACAAGCAGATTTAGGTCGATGTTTCCCTCGTGTGCCTGTTATCTTGTATTTAAAAAGATACCAGTTACTGGTGACAAAACCATAGTCTCCAGAACTTAAGCAGGTCTGCGAGTAAGACTATTCCAACAGCTATTCTGTACTTTTTCGTATCTGTTCAAATCAATCTTTAAAATTATTTCTATACATACAGGACATCATCTTTGTTCAACATATGCCCATTGTCTGCATCATGCCCTAGGTTCTATATAGGGAAATCTAGGGGAGACTGCCTTCTTTTGACCATCTCACCTCATTGCAGGATACATTTTGATTTCTTTCTGGGTAGCCTGGCACTTGCTGGGCAGGTTGCCTGGATGAGTGGTATGAAGAGGAGCTTCTCTGAAAGACAGAATATTTGGCATTAGCACTACTGTGGCTTCCAGTCAGGACTTATGGCCAGCACTACTCATACCCAAGGCTACATTACCCTTGTCTTAGGGAGATGGCTTTTCTACTGGATCCACAATGAGATTATTCTGGCATCTCCTTTTGAAATCCAGCCTTAGCAACTACAAGAACACCCACCTTTGGTAGGCTCTCAAACATGCCTCACGGGGGGCCCAGCTGCGACCCTGGACACAGCCACAATGCCGTCTGGTTTTGAAAAGCCCCAGCACACAGAAAATGCCCATTCACTTTAACCTCCCCTCTTCTCAGTCAGTTATTATAGTTATTTTATGTGTATATATATATAAATAGGTTTTTATTTTTATTATCACATATGTATTTACATTTATCAATATAGATTATCAATATTCATTTATAATTCTTGATATTATCACATTAGTGATGGCCAGTCATACAGGGGGATTTGTTTTCCTTCACCAGTGCGTAAGTCAAAGAGTTTTCACTCAACCCAAATACAAAGACTGCACAGCACCTACGTGTGCACGTTTTAACACTAATTTGATGGCTCAGCAAGCAGGACTGACTTGAAAAATAAAGTCAAGTTTAAGAGGTTAGATGTGTGGGATTTAAAATGGGGTTAGGTGAAAGCACCCAGTTTTACCTCAGCTGAGAAGATTGGACACAGGGCGGGGGGGGTGGGGGGCGTGTGCAAACCATAAACTCCAAAGGAAATCCAGAGTCAGGGGAGGAAGGCAGCCTCCTTCTTAGTCTAGGCAAGGTTCAAGTGTGGCCAAACACTGCACACCGAGATTAGGAATGTTTTCTTGCAGTTTCATAATCGTAAATAATGTCTAGTGAGGGTAAGGACTTTTCTATATCCTTCCCAGGTTAAATTCCAGTCTGGGACAAATTGTTAGGGAACTTCCGGAGTTCCGCTAGGGAACTTCTTTTGCTGTCAACAAGCAATCTGTAAATGCTGTTAGCTAGCAATCAATCAACTTACATGAAGTTTTAAATACAGACATATCCCCAAACGGCAGCCCATTTGCAAGGCTAGAGGAGCCCCGTGAATTCCTACCAACCACGTAATTGAAACAGTAGTATCTGAACTATCAAACTGACCTGCTGGCCTTGTCCTCCTGGCGCAGATGGGTTTCGTTTTGCCCTTTGCAGTGCCCGTAGTTTTTCAAGTAAAAATATTTTATCTTTTCCTTCCTATGGTCAAGACATATTTGATCATTAGCTGGAATGGACAAATCATTCTTGAGAGGCTCGAGGCCTGTGAGGAACCATTGACCAAAATAATCATTAAGGTTCCTTTTATTCTAAAATAATATGTCTACAGAGGGAGCTGCAGCAGCACAGCTTGAAATAAAACCGTTTTGCAACAACTCTATTCGTGAGTTAAGTTTCCCTGCAATTCCCATGGAGGAGGGCTCCCACCCTCCCTTGCACTGTCATAGGAAAAGCAGATTATAGCTTCACAATAGCAGGATGGGACAATCAACAAGGAAGCCAATTTTTAAAAACAAGATAAAGCTGAAAGTCAAACTTACATTAACAATTTGCTTACGTAAGAGTGTGGTCATGGTCTTTCTTCCTTCTGTTATTTGCCAGTAAAGGTAAGTAATAATTCTAAACAACAACAACAAAGAGTCCAACATATGAGCAGTCATACCCACCAGTATTTCCTCCTAGTCATTGCCTGAACAGAAAGTTATCTTGTTTATTTTATCCATTAAAAGACATATATACACATATCTATGCACACATACACACACACAAAACCAAATGCATGTATACAGTTACACAAGGAATGGCAAACACATGAAATTGCTTAAGACA